AAAAAGAGAACGATAACAAAGAATGATTAGTGCGGAAACGAAAGAACAATCAAGTCTGAAACGATTGATTAACATTTCGCTCTATGATTGACAGATTCTAGTAAGAGATTTTATAATTTTATATTCAAATATATTCGATTATCCCCCACTTGTGTTCTCGTTCATTACAATATCATTTAAAATCCCAGTTGCACTGAACAAGTGTGATGATGGAGAAGATTTTTAGCTCAGGTGGGTGATTTTGATGGATTTTTGTTCTCTGAGCTGGATGGTTTGGTCGTGGAGCTTTCATCGTTCTTCTGAACGACATCATCAGCACAAACTTCAGATAGAAGTGAAGTGTTCAGATTTCTCCATATGTGCTTCACAGCTTGTTCTGTACACCTTGATGTTGATTGGTTCTTATTGACCTCAAATTTGTCATTGTTTACTTCTTTGTTTCGGTTGTGTCTCCCATCGGTTTGATTTCTGTTCCTATATTTGTGCATGATTTTCCTGATTGGTTGATAAATTGGATTGATTTCAATATGCTTGTTGATTGACCTGAGTGCCAGGTTTCTAAAAATTTTCTGGTGTTTTTGGAATTTCCTCTGTCTAAGATTTCTAAATTTTTCCTATCGAATGAGTGTTCGCAGTTGTCCACGTGTATTGATATAAGTGATGAGATATCATGGCGTTTGACTGCTAATTGATGTTCATATAGGCGAAGGTGAAGGGGGCGTCCGCTTTGTCCGATGTAGTGTTTTTCGCAGTCGGCACAATTTATTTTGTAGATGATGTTTGATTTGTTTTCCTTTGTTATTTCATCCTTTGGTTTGCATAGGATTGATTGTAGTGATTTTGTCAGTTTGTGTGCCACACCTATCCCGAAGGTTTTCAGCAGTCTCGTTGCGGTTCTAATATGCCTTTTATGTATGGTAGGGCGATCCTTTTGTTGATTTCTGTGCTTGACTTGGGTTCTGATGTTGCGCGCGGTTGGCATTTTTTGATTAAGTTTATTGAGTAGCCGTTCTTTTGAAATACGTCCTTCAGATATTGCTCTTCATTTTTTCGAGCTGCCAGTGTGTCATCGCCCTCTTGGACAAAGTGTGTACGCAGTTGATTTTATGAGCTCTTGGGTTGTTGCTATTGTAGTTGAGAATTTGATCCGTAAAGTAAACAATGACAAATTTGAGGTCAATAAGAACCAATCAACATCAAGGTGTACAGAACAAGCTGTGAAACGCATATGGAGAAATTCGAACACTTCACTTCTATCTGAAGTTTGTGCTGATGATGTCGTTCAGAAGAACGATGAAAGCTCCACGACCAAACCATCCAGTTCAGAGAACAAAAATCCATCAAAAACTAAACAAATGTGTTTAGAATGTTGAATGGTATATATCACATAATGCATAAGTATGTATATTATATTGTATATGTGTATTCCTTGTATTTCTCAATATCCCAATGCTTCTTTCTTTCATTATTAAACTCTATCTACAGATTACAAGTACAATACAAATACATCAGATGAACAGGCAAGTTAAACATCATAATCTTTCAAATATATTACCAAATTAATAACATATTATACAGTCTTCTATGTAATATGTCAATAGGTTAAAACAAACATTGATTCATATGAATTACACATTGTATTGTATCATATTTTACATTTAAAAAGATATCGTTTTAATCTCATTCTTTAAAAAAGAAAGAAAAAAGAGAGTATTGTTTATATAGTTATGATTGATACCATATAAATCTAGTTGTTTTACCTTATGTAATAATATTGATAATGGAACGATGAATGTTACAGGTTATAGGCCCTATATTGACAACGATCTATTCCTTTGAGATTAATGTCCACGAAGAAGAAGAAATACTTCTTTCGAATTCTATTGTTAGATATGCGAGTTGTAAACAGATTAGAGAGTTTCATAGAAACGGACTAATGTGACCTTATAAGCTTATCGCCATCATATTGAAAATGTCAAATCCAAGTTTCAATAGGACAACCTACTTCTTCGAATAAAACAATTGTTTGTTCCTAAGTTTGTTGGACGGCAGATCGCACTAGGACAAAATTAACAGGTTATCTTCTTCACATACAGAATTTTTTTTACTCTCTTGCCCACCTAGTAATAAAAGATAGGGTTGATAAGAAAGCAGGGACCTATTGATAACCTCAAATCGGACAATAAAAGGACCATTACCTGGTTAATATTCTTCTGTGAATATATCCTTATTCATATAATGAAGTTTGTATTAAATCTAAACACATCCGGTCGATGAAAACTGTCGATTTAAGTGAAACCTATTGTCATATAAGTAACAGGTAACGCATCATTTTCAGCAAAATAAAATATTTCTAAATATACGGAGAACTTAAAATTACATATAAACAGTTAGTGGGATTTCGTAATACCTTGGATCAGTAAGACCCTTTATTGATATAGGTTATCGAATTAAGTTAGGAAGGAAGCTGAGATATAAGACCATAATAGCAGTTACGGGTTGCATACAAGGCTTTCTATTGAATGACACTCAAAGTTAGATTAGCAACTGAGTTCGAATTCTACCTTGATCACTGAGCGTTTTGTTATATTAATGAAGAATACTCAACTAACCACAATAGTTACTTAGTTTGATCATCTCAATATAAATTGTATTAAACTAGTGCTAAGGTTAGTTGGCAGAATAATAGACAGGTAAATTAAAGGTCTCTTGACTTGGATTTCTACCTTGAATCGATTTCTTTCAACTTCAAACACTAGTTTCATTGTACTGCAATTTGCAAACACATTTCTTAAGAGTTAGTTATATATAATATGCCGTTGTGGGCCAGGGTAATTTTACATTGGTTTCCAGGAGAACCGGACACCATACGGACTTTCACGTGACAACCCCAACAGTACAGCTCAATCCCTTTCAACAGGAGAGCCAGACACCGTACAGGCTTTAACGCTACAATCTGAATAGTACAGTTTAATCCTGGGGCGCAACGATACAGGTACCAAGCACCCTGATGGACCATTCGTATACACATTCACATCACTTGTATAGTTATTCCGATCAATGATCGTGTGAATCAATTATGCACATCACGAACAGGCCAAAGTTGGCCTATTCCGTTTTTACACGACAGTCAAACTCATTCATGTTAGCAATGGCGACATGTCTTACAATGTTCCAATGACAATGGCACTTGAAAACCCTGAAAAGCAACCACCAGTATGAATGAAATCGGCTAACCAGTTAGCAAAACTTGCCAAAGTAATGCCGAACCATCCACAATATCAATATCGAACCTCCAAACTCATATGAGACCTTCAGCTCTGCTAAGCAATATAGCTTATTTTTTTAAGACATTGACATGAACTTCTCATAAAATTTCTTCTTCAAAGTTCAATTTTGTAAATTTTAGAAATCATAGTGTACTCTACATATTTATACTGTTATCACCCTTGATCTTCCTCTCAATCATGAATTCTATTACTCCTTCATATGTACTTTAATGCTGTTTTTCGAACATACTCCCAATTTTTAGTCTCCTAAATTATTATTTTGATCTCTTTTCTGTTATTGATTTTTATTAAATTCATCTCTTCATACTAATGTGGTATGTATGACGATATGCGCCAACGAATAATTGCGTCAAACTCTACGTTAATCGAAGTGATTGACTATAGTGAAATTAATCAACGATTTGAGCACTTAATTCACAAGCTTTACACTATAAGTTTTAATCTCATTTTACTCAATGGATCACAGATATCCAGATTATTGTACCACTTAGAACAAGTGTGACTAAATCCCAAAACATAATAAAAATTTTATTACTGAAATGTACAGTTTGATGATCAAGAAACCATTATTTATTTGGATTATATATAAGTCATTTATTTTAAAAGCATCCTGAATTTTAACGCACTTTACACTATGGAATCCGCGAGATATCGGTCTATCAATAAAAAGATGAGTATACTGAACAGCAGTTTGTTCTGTTCTACTTTACAGTTGCGAATAATGGCCATTAAGAGTAGGAGATACTCGCAAGCTACTAGTAATTGGTCACAGATGTCTCAGAAATATTACTCGCATCTCACGGAATCACCGTGTAAGTAATAGTGAGGTAAGACATATGGTATTAGGGAATGATGGTAAATCAGTTGATGAGGTTGTAAATATTCATCAACTGAGATGGTTGGACCACGTGTTACGTATGCTTGAACACCGATTATCACGACGCGCAATACTGACCAGTGTTAGGGATAGTTGGAAGAAAGTTAGGGGCGGTCGAACCAAAACGTCGCATCAGTCCTTCAAGTCACTAACTTCTAGTCTGAGCCATGTTGGTAGACGAGATGGTGGAGTATGTATGTATTCACTGTATAGTTCTCAGATTTTACTAAGATGTGCTGTAATGTTGTGTTCTCGTATATTCGATTGTCCACACTTATCTTCTCGTTCACTACAGGCATACTATATTAGTTCACAGTCGATGTCAAGTAAAGTATGTCAACTTGAGCCTAATATTTATTTCAAGATCTAACCAGTAACAATAATTACAAAAACAGGCACCTTAATTCAAAGATAACGAATTTCTCCTATTGGTGATACCTTTCATTCTGGTGAGTAATGTTACAACAAACATGAAAATGATCAATGAGACTATAATTTATGGACGACCTATGAATGACGCTAAACTGACCTTGGGAGTGTTCACCTAATAACTAGGACCAAATGAAGGTTATAAACCAGTGTAAGGAATTCGAATTATGATTTACAGTTGATGGTTAAGATTAGGAATTCAATTTAGAGTTTTCATCACGAACTAATATCAGTTATAATGCCTCTATTTGGTCAGATGAATGAGTGAATTTCACGTCAAAATCCAAGACCTGTTAACTTATATCTAATTCATTCATTCAGAAATTATAATCTCACTTTAAATAATCAATCATCATTAGTCAACTAATTTCTTACCACCACTAATGAATAATGAAACAAAAACATCGTAATATAGTTTGTTTGTTTGTTTTTTTCTAAATAAGATTATATAACATCTAATGGAATAGGAAAATACAACTGATTTATGTACATGTAATTCGTTTAATTGTTGGCGCTATATTCTCAGGCCACCATGATGGTATATATGGAATAATATCTAATTGTATTACATTATTAGTATTATTATTATTATGATGATGATCACAATCAGTATGAATCGGGATATTTACTACTAGTTTATATTGTTGTTCATTGATATCAGTTAAACGTATCAATGCTATCCCACTGATTAATTCATTATCAATATTTAAATCATTCTCATTATGATTATTATTATTTATCATAATAAAATTATTCATATTTACATTTCGAATCCATCCAATTAATTTTAATTTTGATAATTCATATGTTTTATCATTTTTATCCATTTGATAAATTGGTGCATTGTATAAATGACTATAGAAATATTTTCAATGAAAAGAAAGAAAGAAAATGTTGAAAATGAATCATTCTTTTGTGTATGTGTATATTCATCATTATAAAATTAAAATAAAGTGTAGAGTATAACTTTTTATCACCAATTGATATTGTAGTGTATGCGCTACTACTGATGTCGATAGATACATAAGTGAATGCCCTGGTACGGCTTTGAGTACGGAGAGTCCGCTCTGCCTCTCCAAATCCTCTCATATGGTCATGTGTATATAGCCTCTACCAGGGAAGTCCTACTCACTGTCTTCTTGTGGAGGGGGTATTGTTTACGAAAATGAGAAGATGAAAAGCGAATATCCGGCGCTTTAACCGGGTTAGTAGACATGGAGAGTTGGAAAACCCCGGTTCCAAACCAATGGTGCACATGGTCTTCAGTATTTTGAAGGAACAAATGGCGTATGAACCAATCGTTGGTCACCGGCTACCATGGCAATGCATCTCCTTACGTTGCTCCATGTAATTTAGTCATTTTTGTACTACAAATTGTTACCAATGTTTTCCGATTAGTTTAAACGTCTAAGGTCGGTGCTATAGAATACTTTGGTCAAAGACGTCCAGATGGCAGAACTGATGACAGTGACTAGTATGTGAAACTTTTCACATAGGAACTTGTCCCAAGAAATTATACTGAAAGAGATGACGTCTAAAGTATGGGCAAAACGTTCCACACAAGAATTACTCTAAAAACCCTGTAGCTAACTGGCTTTAAACTTATAATTTATAGATTCACTTCGTGTTGTTTTACTTGTATCTTCCCATTATTATTTAGGATTGCAATTGATCGGTTTCTTATTGGCATATATGCATCCTGTGCGGACTGCCTCGATATTTCCTTAGGTCACAAGCTTTATGAGCAAAGATGGATAGTGGCTAACAGTGCAATCCAGTTTGATGCGCGTTTCGTCCTATTTGGAACTTGTCAGCTGGATGTACCTGCATCTCAGGGTTGATGTTCACTCACATATATCAACAAGGGACTGATCAATTACAGTCCTAAATAACAATGGGAGGATTCAAGTAAACAATATCAAGTGGATTTAAAACTTCACACTATTGCACAAGCATGTGGTTATTAGGACTCAGTAGCTAAGTGGATAACGCAATACGGTTTGAAGCGAAAGGTACTGGGTTCGAGTCTCAGAGTAAACATTAACTCTGAGATGCATGTACATCCAGTTGACGAGTCCAAAATAGGACGAAACGCGCGTCCTGGATTTCACTGCTGGCCACTATTTATCAGTAAATTTGGGAACATAATAGATTAGTGAGTTTAATTTGACAAAACTGATGAAATTGTGTCGAATAACTAACAAACTTTTTAATAACAATCTCTGCTTATCCAAATACAAAAAGTATACCCCTCAACTAAGGTAGACGAGAAAACTTTATCAAGGAAACATGAGATGACACTACGAACATTTGACGTTTAGTGTCTTATTAGCAAAAACAATATCAGGTCTAACCTGTGAGTTGACTGTGTCATCATTCTGAGAGGTTGTGGTTTTTATGGACAACCAAACGCATCTTAAAAACTGTAATTGTATTGAGATCAAGGAATATAAGCAGTGCAATATAGAGATAGATAAGTTTAAACTCACTTAACACTATTTGATGTTTTTAAAACATCAATATTCCCCTTCGACACTATTTTAATCGGCACATATCTTCGCCGAGTAACTCCAGTAAAGTGTGTCCGTGCTGTCAACTCCTGACCAATATAACATCCTTTGGAAAAGCTAACTCCACCGGATAAATCAGCATTCGCTTCGAACGGTAGTGTATCACTTGTAATTAATTCCTTAATACCTTCTGGTAAGCCCAATTCCCAACGTGCATTATGATACAGGTTTATATCAAGTGGTTGTGTATTGCATGATGGGAAAATACTAGTGACTTGTGATAAGGAAAAAGAAATGGAATGACAATGGAAAAGAGCTGGAGAACAAAGGAACTGAAGTCACACATTTGGATTAAAATTAATAATTTGTACTATGCTTTATTAGCTGACCATCTATTTAATTTAGAAAATAAAATCCTGGTCAATTCGAAACCACCAACAGATATGACATTTTAATGTTTCTTTAAGATAAAGAAATTCGATAGGATACGGCATCAAGAAATGAACGAAATTGCAAACGGTTTCGATTTTGAATAACCACTTAGAGCTTGAAAGACTACTGAACTGCTCGATCACTTGGAATTCATCTGAGATACTGCAATTGACTACCTAATCCAAATCCAAAACAACCTGTAGTGCCAGTAAAATGTCACTGAGCCCTAGCCAAACCATCCGACAGTTAGGTCACTCAATTTCGAACGGTTCATCGACTATCTTTAGGGTCGAAGATAACGATAACCAACGCGCATTAATCAATCGTACACCATGGACTGGCGTGGCGGTCACACTTTTGCTTGTACCTACTCTAACTAATATACTTCTATAATCACGTCCTTTGTGTTATACGGCCTTCAAAGCAGCAATAGTACCTTAATACGACGAAGGGGTAAACCACGTTAATTGCTGAACACGAGATGTGACTTGGAAGTTAGCTATTGATCACACTATTCCCGTCTAACTCGAGTAGGGCCCCGAAAATTCAACATAGATCATCTACTTTAGTGAGTTACAAACCCTTCTTTGCTTCACGCATCATGCCGAAAACAAACCACTACTTCATTTATATCCATGTCCCAACGTCCGAACCCAATATTTGGTTTAAAAGATGCTGCAGTGACACGACAAGAGCGTTTCGATGCCGCCAATTGATCATCGCTGTCCCTGAATGGACTACCAGACCTTAGTTTCGACATTACTTAAGCTCAAGCTAAACCTACGTATCTATGCCGTCTAAATTGTCCTAAGATTAACGTTGATTGCAATTGAATATCACTGTAGCAAATACCTGCCACTAGCGATACTAGTTACACAAATTTAGCAAACACTTCGAACAAGCTATCAGAAAGGGAGTACACAAGCAAATGATTCTAATGGATTTCGCACCTCGATACTCAGTTTACCACATTATTGATTTAAACATACAGACATTGGTACAAGAAGGCACTAAATAGATATGCGCCACACAAATTATTCGATTTGTGTGAGGGCTATGATACTGCCCGGGTGACCAAACCGAAGCAGGTGGTTCACTATGCCAAAACAATGTCGTCTTCACACTCAAGATCAGAAATACTTTCTCTAGGTAGCATATCGAAACGACAAAAAACTTACTTAGAGATATGCGAAGCACAATAACAGCAACTTTTGAATGAAAGTCAGAATCTCCTTATTTACAATATCCCTGCATGCCACATCGTCTAGTAACAAATTCTGATAGAATTTCGCACATCAAGTCTCTATTTGGTTAAAAAACAGCCGACTCAACGTCAGAATCTTCTGACAGCCACATGTTTATCTTCATTGGGATAATAAATCACCGACGATGTTCGATGTAATCAATCAAAAATAAATGTTTTTTTAGCAATGATACAACATGGTCATGATAAAGTCCAGCTCATTACATGACCATAAATAACAAGACATAATGACAAATAAAATTATGACCACGTCTAGTATAAATGCAAATCGGTAAGTCAATCAAATCAATTGTTGCTGTCGTTCAAAGTTAAAGATGCCTAGGTCAGTTTATATGGCCATTCATGTTTGTAGTTATGTGTATACAGTTTTTTCTAAAATGCTGAAAAACCATTCAACAAAAATTCGAAAACATTAAACCTAATCTTTAATAAAATCTAAACAAAATAATTACCATTTGTACTAGATGTTGACAGTATGCGTCCAGACCAACCAGATATACCCCTAGGATCTGAAGCGAAAAAGATCAACTGTCGTTGATCACTAATATCAGGTGAATTCACTGGTAACCATGCTTTATAATTATTCAGTTGATTCGAGTGTCTTGATGTCGGCATAGCGACCCAAGGATACACTGATAAATCGGCGTCTATCTTAACCTATACAAATGTTATTTACAATAGACAAAAATGGATTTTTGAAAAAATAAACAGTTAAACATTTGAATGGTCAAATAAAGAAGGTCGATGTATGTCGAAACTTAGTATCTCAGAATGTATAGTTCTCATTAATAAACTTTAAGAGGGTAAATAAGAAAATGAACATGTGGGACAAGGTATTTAGATGAACTAGAAGTACATATTTGTATACTAAGAATCGAGTTACGTTTATTCTACAATCATTCTATCATCAAATACTAGCAACTTACACATATCTATTACTTCCAAAGGCTATTTTTTCACAGCCATTAAGTAATAGAGAGTAAACCTCTGCACAGCACACACCCTATGACAATTAGACAGGAATCTTACTCGTACTGATGGTAGCATCACCCAACAAAGGCTAAACGAGCTTATTTTTATACTTTCATAGATTTTGAGCATTACTTTTATATCAGGCCTGGCTAGGCACACGAGGTAAGTGAAGTTAATGACTCACTAAGTGTTAGGGGTTATGAAACTGCCTAGTTGCTTAAACCAAAGTAGGTGGGGCGGAGTTTGAATCTGGGACAGTAACAAAAAGTCGAACTTCCCAGTCACTAAGCCATTGTGACGTGATAAGCTACATAATCAGGGTAGAGAAGATCTGAATCAAAATTAAGCATAAGCTATTTGGGTAATATTTCTAAATCATAAGTACTGTTAAGTCACCATTAAACACTATAATTGGCCATAAATACTTACGTCAAATAAAGTGATCAAAAAATTCATGCAATCGATTTTTAAATCACATTAAAGCGATGAGGAATATAGCAAATAACACTGAAGTGAAACGTACTTTCCCACGTAAATTATATTGCTTTAAGTGTTTAACCATATCAGGTACGCAACTGACGTCAACTTCAACAAGATAATCAGACTGATTAGTCGATAAACGATTAGTATGATAGATAAATGCATCAGTTAGAACTCTACCCTAAAATATATAATGAAAAAAAACTATCTGACAGGAAGGAAATTCAATGAAATATACCTTCGAATTGAGAAACAATGAATACATGAATGAATTAGGTTGATTTATAGATTTGATATCATTTGTTATAAGTCCTTGTAGAAACTCATCGGCTGATGTGCCATGAACGCATATAAGACTTCTTTCTTTTAATTGACTTATACTCAGAAAACGTTTAGGAAGAAAAGTAAGATGACTGACACGAAGGGAATTTCCAAATACGATCATGAGATTCGAATCAAAGCACAAAAACAATCTAAAAGAAACAAATACAACTTAAATTACTATTATATGGCAGACATAAACATATTGGTTCATGTTTAGTTTGTTACCTATCCTTAAAATGACTAGTAGAAATATCAATTAGATCTTATCAGAAAAAGTTCTACACTCCCAAATATGAAGGTCCTGATAACAGTAGTCCGATTAATCTATTTATGACAAACGCGTTAAGCAATACATCAGCATTCCTATGATTTAATGATTTTTGTGATGTAGTGTTCTTTAATAATTTTTCAGTTGCAATCGGTTCAAGAATATAAACGTTATGTAAATCTATATAGATAAACCACTACTTAAAGTGATTAATACGGAAGAATCTATGATATTTGTGTGAGCTCATCGCAGGATACATTTCAGTTTAAGTGAACTTGTTTTTTTTTAAAATTGATTTTAGACATCATGTCACTTAGACTGGTAACCAAATTGTGACTTTTTCACTAGAATCCAATAATCACTGGGTGACCAGGCAAACCTGAACTTGGCAACTACCATGTAATCAACTAGTTGTAAGCTGTATTATTTTGTAAAAGCCTAACCATAGCAGGACATTGATTTTTTGTTTATGTCTTTTCTTTAGATATTTGTGAACAAAGCAAGAAATACAGCTATTATTAGTGCATTTGAGGAGAATGCAGACCAACTAGTTGATATTATTAGGCTGCCTCTGGAAAGTAAATTCACAAAGCCAACAGAAACACAAGACGTATTACTCCCAGGTGACTGCGATTGTCTAAATCCCAGAATTTCTCGTATTCAAAACAAAAAGTAGCCTCATAGTTGCATCAAGACCATGTGTAAAAAGCAAATATATCACACTAAGCTAAGGAATTATTGAGCATACTACCATCAGGCCCTGTATATCCAATTTGTTTGTGAGGAGCTGATATAAACCGACTGATTCCTTTGCGTTCGCTTCTTGTTGTTTCTGTCTCATAGACTAGGACTAAACTTCATTTTCTTATACCACAATGTCACTAAAAATCCACTCCCGTTAGGTGAAAGGTTTGACTTTATACCTAGTTACGTGAAACTACTGTAAACACGCAAGAAGTAACGTACCAGTTGAACTGAGCACTGAGATGGAAATGGTCCAAATGGTTCTGGACAGAATCGAAGCTTTCAGTTAACGGGCTTCCGTATCAAATAGCAGTGGATCACCGATGCCTCCAGGTAGGAACCTAATTATATTAACGGTAATAGAGGAAAAAGAGAAATAAGTTGATAAATCGCAGTGAAATACTATCAAATGGTTCAAATGGTTCAAATGGTTGTGGACGGAATAGAAGAAGCTTTCGCTTAACAGGCTTCCGTGTCTAGTAGCAGGGGATCACCAAATCCTCCAGGCAGGAACCTAGGTATGTTAACAATAAAAGAGGAAAAGAAATTGGTAAATCATAGTGCGATGCTGTCCTTGGTCCTTAAGAATAGGTCAAGTTGCCTCTTGAAGGACTCCTGAGAAGTCGCTTGGACTAGCTCGGCCGGCAGCGAGTTCCAGCTTTTGACAACTCTTAAGGAGTAGAAGTTGTGTCTACATTCCGTCTTGCTATGTTGTGTTTCCAGTTTCTGGGTGTTACCCCTTAGGTTATTGTTCGAACTAAGCTTAAGTAGGTGTTTAAGAGGATGTCCAGAAGTGTTAAGAATACTATAAGCCATTAATAAATCACCTCTAAGACGCCTATATTCTAGTGGGTAAAGGTCTAGTGAACGGAGGCGTTCTTCGTAAGGCTTGGATTTGAGTCCTCGAACTGATTTCGTGGCTCGCCGTTGGATACGCTCCAAAGTGACCTTATCCTTTTGGAGTGAGGGGGGGAGTACTATGTTTCCGTACTCTAAATGGGGACGGATGAAACTATTGAAGATCCTTAGTACTTAAGAATATGTCAAGTTTTCTCTCAAAGGACTCCTGTGAAATCACCCTAACTGGCCCAGCCAGCAGCAAATTCTAACATCTGATTACTCTTAAGAAGTGGGAGGTGTGTCTATAGTTCGTTCTGCTGTGTCGTGTCACCCGTTTCTGAGTGTAAACCCCTAAGGTTTGTGTTGGGACCAACCTTAAGTAGGTATCTAAGGGGGTGCTCAAAAGTGTTTGGCATGTTGTAAGTCACTAGGTTACCTGTAAGATTCTTGTACTCTAATATGTAATGGTTCAGTGGTTGAAAGCGCTCTCCATCAGACTTGTATGAGTCCCCTGATTGATTTTGTCGTTCACCATTGGATACATTCATGAGTGCCTTTATCCTTTTGAAATGAGGAAGCAATACTATTTTTCTGTACTCTGAATGAGGGCGACTCGCGCGAACGGAGGTTAGTGGACGAAAGTACTAATTCATCTGCTTGTGCAGCTTACTTTTCCGGTTATAGATTGTCCCCAATTATTGTTGAGCACGCAATCGTCCCATACTATCAGCGGATAATCAGCAAGTACCCAAAACCATACCTAAAGTAACCAAAAACAGCGTGCGTAACCAGCAATCACGACTACAGGACCACCAGCTTGCCGAGTAGTTCCAAAGAAGCTGATGTTGGCTTAAAACGTATCCCACCACATGATAGACTATGGAGTCATTCGGTCATCGAACTGCCCATGGGCATTGTACTTTTATATGGCCCCCAAAAAGAACGGCGAAGGTTGGTGCCCAACTGGTGACTATCGGCGACTGAATACAAAACTAATCTCGATCGTTACCCATTACAGAACATTCACTGTTTGTCAGCTACCTTGAAAGGTACAACTTTTTCTCGAAAATCGACTTGGTTGAAGCATGTATCCAAATTCCTATGACTGCTGACAACATTCAGAACAACAATAGATAGATGACAACTGGAAACCCTAGCATTCTTCTCGAGTCGATTGCTAGACACTGAACCGAGGTATAGCACCTTTGGTAGGGAACTCTTAGTCATGTATTGTCGTTAACAGTACTTTCAACATTCCATGGAATGCCGAGAATTCACTATTTCCACCGATCACAAACCTTTCATCTTCTCTTTAGGCTGATCTTCAGACAAATACTCCCCTCAAAAGTCTCGACAACTGGACTGTATTTTACAGTTTATTTCAGATATGCGACACATTTCTTTGGCAAACAGTGTAGTTGCAGACGCTTTGTCTCGCATAACTTCCTTGAACAGTTTCCAAGGAACAGACAACCTTAAACTCTCCCAGCTTCAAAAAGAAAACACTGGCCGCACTTTTCGAACGGGAAGCCTAGTCCTAACGTTACTTACATTCCCCAAACTTCTCCTGTGTTGTTACGCAACAAAAGTACCATTTCTGATCTAATGAATCTATTCTGAGCTATACGTTCGGTAGATCACATTTTTCAAGTTTCACCCAATATAATAATTAACAGTGGTTTTAGTTCAGTTTACTATTCTTTTTTTCAGTTTTTCACGTAAAGGCTACTTCAGTTTATCTCATCCGTTTTTATCCATTTTTGCCCGGTTTTAGTGTGCTTTTAAGCGTATTTTTTAACGGTCTTAGGCTTTTGCTAGCATCTATAATACAGTTTACCTCAACACAGTCATAGAAAATTCATGCAAACGACCTGGACACCGTTTTGTCGTTATATCTGGGATGCAGTGCGACAACTGCAAAGGTTGGTTCCATGAAGCGTCCACAGATCTCACAGCAATTACTTACAACAGACTCAGCAAGTCGGATCATAAGTGATTACGTGTAACGTGCGACACGGATGCTGTAGTTTTACTGAGCAACATCATTGTCTTACTGACAGGTCTGCGGAATAAGTTGTCAGCAAACTTGGTAAAAGACAGTCATAAAACGTGTGGACAAACAAGGGCGTGCAACGAAAACAAGAATAGGGATCTTGACAGGTCTACTATCGATGAAGCATGCATTAGCACTAGCGATGACATGCTGAAACTCAGCACCACAATAACGTCGACGGTAATAGACTCCTTCAGCGAACTCGGGTCTCTCAGCTCAGGGCCCTCGAATACAACAGTGGTTCCCAATAACTCTGTTGGTGATTAGACCCACGTTAGCTAAAAAGGACCAGGCGTCATCGTGTAAGCTAAACATCCCAAGTATTGTACGGAAATCAACTGGTGATTTCACCGCACAGTCTACCCCCAGAAATGTCCATCTGGTCATAAAATAGTCTGGGATTAAGAGACGTGCTTCGACCTCCAAACAATAAGGTGCTGAACCTGAACACACCTGAAAACCTTGGAAAACAATAACGGTTCGTGAGGACTCTCTCATAATCATGAACCTCAAAGACAACCCTGACCTTCCTCTCAGTTTGCAGGACAAAAATGACAGGATGCTCTGAGGAGAACTGAACAAAAAGCTCGAACTTCTTAGAATAGAGCCTTTGGCTACTTCGTGTAACAATTAAGAATGCTACCGACGTAGAGGACGTCTTGCTAGCTAGTCATTTACTGAAATCCGATGGGAACGTAAGAATACTGCTCGACATACCGTATTCTGAGCGCAATCTCATCCGAGACATCCCTAAAGAATCTCGCGAGACGTTTTTCTGAAGAAGAAATATCATTGTGCAAGGTGCATCGGAAAACAGGGACCCTAGTCAAGCGAACTCTGGTATTAGGGAATGGAAATCCATCAAAAAGTCCTCGAGGCTCAAAAACCTAATGACTTGACATGTGACGAGACTAACCAAGAAAGGACGGTGATTGTAAACCCCGGCTAATGAGGATAACTTTCCCATCCTTCCATATGGCGGCTGCAACTCTGGAAGCATTTTGTGCCAACAGACGTCTGTTGTCAACTGGAATCCGCATGCGCCCGAATAGGCCACATGACGCCAGGATCAAGCCCAAAGGAAAGTTAGAGCTGACCATCCTATCTGTCTTGATAAAAAAATACGTGTAAAGGACAGAGCCTAACAACTCGGCAAACTTTATATAGGTAGACCACCTGTCTTTTCACGTAAGGCTCATACAGACAAACAGAAAGAAGATCACACGTTTCATAATGAAATCATAAACTGCTTATACATGAACGCCGCGAGTCTACCAAACAAAATGGATGAGCTACGTGAACTTAACAATGCTACTAGTGCTCATCTGATAGGAATATCTGAATCTTGGATATCTCAGTTCTCGAACCAGGGGCTACTAATACCTGGGATGTCTTTGTTTCGCAACGACAGAAAACGGGCATTGGGGGTGGAGTAGCCGTATACATACGATCTTTCTTGGAGGCATACCAAGTTCATAACCTCGAGTTTAACAATCTTGATGAATCTGTATGGTGCTCCGTAAGACTGTCTACTACTTCGAGGTGCCTAGTCGGAGTCATATATAGGAAGTTCACTGCTGACATCGAGTATGACAGTCGTATGCTGGAAGGACTATCCCGCTCTACTCATCTCGGTTTCACTCATATCCTGATTCTAGGGGACTTCAATCTCCCTAGAGTCAACTAAGCGGAACATACGTATATTGGTGATGAAAAATCAACTGAGGCTCGGTTCTTCAACCTCGTTTAGGATCTGCGATTATACGAAAATGTGAAGTCGGCAACTCGTTGGAGAAACAGTCAGACACCGTCGCGCTTAGACTGAGTATTTACAAACGAAGAATTCCCAGTTGACAATCTCTCAATTCTGGCTCTCCAGTGAAGAGGCGATCACGCCATTATGACCTTTAGTTTTGTCAGCAAAACTGAGCTAAGATATCCCACCAACAATAGGCGCTGGAATTTCAAACGGTTGAATGTGTCAGCTCTACAGGACTGAATAAAACAGGTGGATTGGGATGTTAACCCTCAACTCGATGTGGATACTTATTGGGACTTCTTACCGCACATGCTTTTATGTGCTACAAAGCATTCAGTTCCTCAAACTGTCCCCAATATCCACAAGCAACCTACAATCCTCAAGAATCGCACTCTTCGCCTGCTAAGCCGCAAAAGGCACTTTTGGGCAGAATACAAACGAACTGACAACAGCGGTGCCTACAGGCATCACAAACATATAAGGAACAAATGCACGAAGGCTATAAGAGAAGACAGGTTTCAGTACCAGATAAAGTTTATGGGTAAATTTTTATTCAATCCGAAAAGCTTATTCCGTTATGCAGCCTC